GAATATGAATAATAATGAGGATTCACACGCATACGTAGAAAAAGCCTACTAGTTTCTCGCACCAGTTATGCACAATTACTCACACTAGAGAATATCTTTTGTTTTTCTTCAATAAACAAATTAATCCCTGGAAGAAAGAACATGTGAAGTGTTCCAGTGACGAATAGAACATCTATAGGCTACCTGTGTGACGTTGATTTTTCTTTTCGATTCAAGAATGCATTTAGATTTTATACAATATATGATAGAATATTGAATATAAAGCTATTCTTAGAACACCGTTTCTTTTGTTTACTGCGAGGAAACCGCTCACTAACACACAATAACTGATTCGAGAATCTAGTAGGCTTTTTCTACGTATGCGTGTGAATCCTCATTATTATTCATATTCACGATTGAATAATCACGCGCACAAATATAAACGTGTGAAGAAAGGACACAGTATATAAGAAACCAAGGTTCTTCCAAAGCTGTATTATTTCTTTCAATACTCAATTTGTTCTTTACACGCATTCATATAGCAATTAAAAATGTGGGGTCGTTGGGGAAATGAAATACGATCCGATATGTGGATTAATAGTCACGTACCTGGTGGACTAAATAGTAAGTCGAAGTGGTTTCCAAAGACAGTGTAGAGAGCGTGCTTTTTTTAAACAGTTCATTCGTATTGGATACTCTAAAGCGATTTGTACAATCATTGACTACGTTTGCTTTTTTCGTATAAATTTTAGGCCCATACGGTGAACGACTTGATAATATGTTTGGCGGAAACCCGAATCCTACATGGGGACAGCTACATAACGGATATGGTATGGGATTTGGATATGGAGGTGGATATGCTTTCTTCATATATGTCATATCAACATATTTATTCGCACTTAGCTTAAGGTCTTAGCCTGTCAAAGACGCACACTCAGTATGTGAATGACTGCTATGGTGGCTAAATGTTTATTCAAAAATGATACCTTGCTGACAGTTAATTACTAAACAGCAAACACGTTGCTATCTGTCCTTTATGAACACACATGATGGTTATGGAGGATATGGTGGCGGCTTTTGGTAAAAGATTTATTGACAACGGATGATTAGAATAACATGGAAAAAATAAACTATATTTGCACTTCCAACATACGCACAATTTGTTTTTGTAAATTCGCTTTTTCAGAGACGTAATCTCTTTTTTCTAAATATTTCTAAATAAATTACTATGTTTTGGAGCCGAATAAGATGATTGTATGTTTACTTAGTGTAGGATAAGGATATATAGCCGTAAAATCAAACAGAAAATTATCTGCGTTAGTCTAAAGTGCTTCGATCCGAGAAGAAATAGACAGGGGCGCAAATAACGGGAGGGCGGGATGGTGCGCACCCTCCGAATAGTTGAAAAAGCTGTTATTATTTTATCCATTATTCCTCGCACAAAAATGTTTTATATCAATTTCATGCTTCCTCAAAGAGAAATTTTATTTTAAACCCCGTAATGTTTTGCTCCTATTTGCGATCCTGGAAATAGAACCAGTGAATGATTCCGGTCGCTTCCATATACGGCGGAACGTTTTCAAGTAGTGTAGTGAAGTTTCCCCTCTTGCTTTGGAGAATTCCTGGTGAAATTTTCTCCTATTTTAAGAACTTTATTCATCCACGTTTCTCCAGTTTTGCGCTAAGTTACTGATCGATTTTTCCAAATTGTCAAGTTTATATTACACCAGAGCTTGATTTGCGCTCAAAAATAGGAGAAAGAATGCTAACTATAACTTCTAGAAAAATCAGTTTGTTTTAAAAGAAAAGGTTACATCCATGATCCTTTTGTTTATAAGATTTTCTTAAGTTTCATTTCTTACGATATATGGTGTAGAATAAAAAAGACAATTGCGTTCTTACTTTTCGGCGTTTTATTAAGCAAACAGAATTTTTTAAATAAGCTGCGATTCGACAGAGCATTTAAATCTCTACAAAACCATAAGCTGAGCGACTTGTAAGTCTATCTATATGTTAATTGCAAGAAGAGAACAATAGAAATAAGATTGCGATAAAAGAACTTCGTCAATTTTCTGCTTTTTTTCAGCTTCTCATTCTGGAAGCTTGGAGGAACTAAAACGGTGTTATTGAAAAATCGAAATTCAGTTTAAAGAAAGACCAAAAACAAATAAATTAGCTGAGCATCGTACAACATCGCGAGGATAATACTACTAAGCAACTAGTGTGCCTATTGCCATGAAAGTGAAGCGTGAAAGTGCTGTGAATTAGTGAGATTAAAGTGAATTTTCCGCAGCAACATACTTCTAACACCAAGCAACTCATTTTAATTCGAAATTGAGCTTTTTTAACATTTCGAGTGTAAATCGCAGCAAAAACAAAATTTGATCAAGATTTCGACTTAAATCATATGAAATGGTACGACACACGAGCGTACGACTTTTACCAACCGATTTTGTAGGAATTACTTGACCGACATATCAGATCCGTAACAAAATTGTAGTATAAGAAATCATAGAATCCTACAGTATGAATGATATCAGTTACTTCTCGTACGATCTTGCGCAAACGTGTAAGATCTTAATATGATCCTTTGATCTGGGTACTGATCTTTTTATCGATGTTTAGACGAGTCTAAACAAGCCTAGAAAAACATAAACGTAAAATTAAGAACGTGTTGATTTTATAGGATCATATACAATCTTACGTACAAATGGTACGTAAGATTGTATATGATCCTATAAAATCGAAAAAAAATACATGATTCTGACTGTTTTTTGCTAGTTTCTCTCGCTAGTCTGCTTTTGCTTTTCTTATGGGGCTTTGCCGCATATGAATCTTTTCAATTCGTTTCTTTTTTATGTCTCAAAGGGTACTAGATCGCTCAGTATAATATCAAAAGCGCATGGAACAGATGCATTTTACTATAATGTATCTGAAGCATAAAAACGATTGAAAAATTTGCAATTCACTCCAAATACATGGTGATGATCTGAAATGTCAAGGTATTGTTAATTTTTGTTCGCTGAATAACTGAAAAAATTGAAAAATGATTTCTTATTCAGTGAGTTTAACTTGTAAAACTCATTTTTATTAGGTTTTTGTAATCTTCCTCCTGGAAATAAAACTTGTCACACCTTCAGCACAAGGGTCTCGTCAAGTGGTTCCCTTCGAGAAAGACAGAATTACAGTACGACAAGCAACACAACTCAGTCCACACCGTGTGAAAGTGTTATTATTCCTACACCTGACGATACCCTTGAGAAAGGTCGAAAGCGGTTATGATATCTTTGTTTGATTCTTTCAGAAATGAGTTCTGTTTGAGTCATTAGTAACGGATTAGCTCAAAGATCAAAAGATACTACGTAAGGCTGACTAAAACTGGGAAAGAAACATATAATCGATGAATTGAACAAATAATTTCTTTTCAGAGTTGACGATTCACTACCAAATCGATTCGAATGGATTTAAACTTGACACAATTTTTCTTATTTTACTATAAGGATTATTTCCCAGAATACTTATATTATGTGCCATATCACAGACGATACATTCCATACTGTACTTTCGTGAATAATCAAAGTAATTAAGAATATTTTGAAATTGTTTTAATACAGGTTGACTACGCCATTGATGATAAGTTTGATAAAGACTTTTGTTTGTTGCTACTTGTCTAACAAATTCAGCAGCTTCTTTTGGTGTCTTGAACTGTCGTAAATCAATAATACAATTTTTACACGGTAACCACTCTTCAATATTCGGTGCACCAAGATAAATGGGCACACTACCAGCAGCAAGCGGCTGCCATAACTTTTCTGTAACATAATCATAAGTTAGACTGTTTTCAATGGCTATTGTAAATAAATAATTGCTTGAAAGAGCCGTTTTTGCCTGAATCCAATTAAGGTTATAGAAACTGTCACCTTTTCCTCCTTGTATTCTAATAATATCAGGTGGTAAATCCCCTTTGTTTCTCTTACATGCACCCCAACTATCAACATCGATGTGTTTCATAAATTCGCTCATATATTCTGTTCGTCCTGATTTTGCATCACAATTTCCGTTCATCCACATCACGGGTGCCGTTATTTCAGAATTATTTTTATAAGCTGTTACTGATTTTTTCATTACCATGACATTATTTGCCGATAACCGTAAAGAAGGATTTGAAATATCTGGCGCATAGTGCAGTAGATAACCAGGTGTAATCCAGTCGTATAATTGTCGATCATAACCCATAGTTACATCGAATAATCGAAGCTTTTTATATTCAGATGCCCACGGATAATAACCAATCGATTCACCATCAAAATGAAAACCCCATACACTATCATAACTACGAAATTGACTTAATACACCTCGCCATAATTCATCATCGAGAACTAGCATTTTATCCGTAATAATCGATGGATAGGATTTCAATTGGCCATTATTACGGCCAAATAAATCCAACGATACACCGCTTTGACAAAGTATATCTGGCTCATCATTCATATTTTTTTTCTCGAATATTTTACCACCTTTCATACATTGGATATTTTTCATCGCCGATGCTGACGATTTTACTAATGTACAAGGTATCTGTGGACATTTCTTATAATGGATTTTACAGTAGGTATCTGAAATAAGCCTCAATTCTCTAGATACATTACATAAGGAGGATTCATTTAATGTGGATAAAATAATAAAATTGTTCTGACTTAACAATGTCCACCATTCCCTCCAATCAAAAATATACTTTATTAATAGACTCTCATTTCTGTTTAACAGACCACTGTTTAACCCAGTAATACTGGGTGATCTTTTATATACTTGTATTCCTGCTCCCAACAATAACAGTCCCGCTAGAGACGGAATTAAAATTTCTTTCAATGAACGCAACATTTTATCTAGAACAGAAAATACTACAATTATAACATAAACTTAAGAAATGAAAAGGATAACATCAATGGCAAAATGGGCTATACATATTTCAGCCAGATGCTCTAAATTTATAGAAGAAAGAGAAGGTGGGAGGAGGGGGGTGCGACACCCCCCAAAAAATAAAAAATCCTCGATTTCTTCCAACAGAAAAAAATTTTCTTATCTCAGTGTAGCACACCCCCAAAATCTGACTGGTCGCGACAGCCCTGTAGAAAGCAGTCCATCACTGAGATTCCAAATAAAGAAAAAAATATTTCTTCATGTACCTGCCGTTTTGTTCGATATAATATTTCTTCAGTTGTTGCGCTGACTGAGCTTACCTGTGCTTTTAGTTGTTTACATGTGATCAATGTCGACACAAGAAATATTTGATGCAGACAGCTGTCTTATTTCTTCATATTAAAAATATCGAAATGGCTGTTGGCGCTTCAAAGGAGTGTCAACTAGGAGATATTGGTACTCCTGGGAATGTCAACAAAAACTACTGACACTCCCAAGTAAAAACATTTGCTGGATTGTCAACAAGGACGTTATCTGATATATGAGCGGCGCGGCGTTTGAACGTTCCTCGAACTATACTTTGACTCAGACGATTCTGATTGTATATTCGCATTTTTGACAGGCATCTAGCTCATCGAGGAGGGAGTAGGGCACGTGGACAATGAGAGTGAGTGAAAATAATCTCCTTATTGACACCCCTTGCGAGTGTTAATACCCATTTTCATCTATTAGATTTTAGCTTTTTCACTCACTCTCACTTTCACTGTCCACTAACCCTCTTCCCTCCCCGATGAATAAGATGCTCGGGACGACGCAAATAAAACGCGAATCCGAATTTTGTAAGTCATAGTATAATTTGAGAAAGGCTTAAACGTCAGGCCGCTCATACGTCAGATGATGTCCTTATTGATACTCCAAGCAAAGTGTGTTGCATGGGAGCGCTCATAGACTCACCCTAAAAATATTTGACAAATTTTGTTACAGGAAGAAAGAATAGTTGTATAATAAAATCGAACGTCTCTTATTTATGCATGAAAAGTCACGTACACACTGGTGGAAACGTTTTATTTTTATTTATAAACTTTTTATTGAAAAAGAAAAAAGAACGATTGCGCAAGCGGCTTTCGCCATATGTGCGCCTTAAAATGTATAAAAAAGAACGTATAATGAGCTTAGAAGGAGAAAGGAAGAAAAAGGTAAAGAGAAAGCTCACGCACGAGATGGTCATTCGGATTTTTGGATATTCACTTCTACTGTTCTGCTTATTGGCAGCCAGAGGAAACGGAAACTTCTCAGAATCGCACTGTCCGCAGTATATATCGGCATATCTCGTTTAGAATAACTTGACTCTAGCCCAAACATCTCCCACGAACTCCCAATAAACTAGCCACCGACACAGAAGGCAGGAAGCTTAAACCGGATAGCAGATCGGTTCTTTCTAAAACATACGTTGAACAATCTAATAAATAGTGCTTTACTGTTTCGTTAGCTCCTCGACATGCACAAAGAGGGGATGAAACACATCTTTTGGAGTGTAAATTGGCATTTAGTTGGGGATTTCCACATTTCAATCGCATAAAAAGTATTTCAGCTTGTCGTGATGGAAAAATGAGACTTTTTTTAAAAGGGGATTCGCTACGCAAATCCAAAGCATTCTGTTTCAGCTTTTTACGTAATGGTTTCGCCTTTAATAAGTATAATGTTGGATCTAATTCTTTCCATTTCTTAGAGAGTAGAGTAAAAAAAGAGCTATGGCGCGTATTTACAGGTTGCATTATAGTTTGCCTGTTACTTCTTAAATTATGTACAGCATTAGTTTGTTGTTGCTGGATTTGAGATCGCAGATATTCTGGGGCAAGATGCATTTTCAATCAATCAAAACGCCTAAGCTTCTCTGGAGGTGTGCAGAATAATCATACTCTACTCCATACGCTGCTCTGCAGGATTGAGTAAGACTAGCGTACAAGAAGCTTTCGAAAAGCAGGGCGCAGTACATGATATTCAAAAAGACCTTTTGCGCTATTGAGCAAAAAGAATATCGTTTCGCAACGTTGATCTGGTTAAACATCCTTGTTTTGGTAAAGCCTGCGAGCTACGATCAGTTTTACACGAGAAAAGTGCGATGTTTATGCGCTTCCCTCTCATATCATATACCGAGAGATATTAACAAGTACAGGAACGCCTGTGACGTAGCAGATTCGACTAATTCTTTTGTGTTTTAGGCGAAATTGGATTGCCTGGACTGCCTGGTGTAGAAGGAAGAAAAGGAAAAAGAGGTCCACCTGGACCTAGGGGTGCGGCTGGCCCTATAGGTGAAATTGGTGTGGTCGGAAAAAAAGGTCCAGAGGGAGTTCAAGGAACCCGGTAAGTTATTAAGCTGTTGAATTTCAATTGAGAGTAGCTAAAAAGTTGCTATCATCTATGCTTTCCATTAAATGTTGAGGAGCTCTTACATATATAATATTTGATCATTGTAGGGGACCGGCAGGAGTTCCAGGGGAAATTGGTATTGTAGGAAAAACAGTAAGTCTGTCTAGTTTTTGATTTTTTTACACAATTTGTGTTTAGCCATTTACACATTTAATTTGTCTAACCATCTAATCGATTTATACTCTGAAGTTTCATGGCCTAGTAACTTCAACTTTTTTTTCCGAAATATATAGTACACGTCATCTAGTAAACACAGTCTAGCGATGAAAATCAAAAACATTTAAATAATTAGCTATTTTTTCCTAATTCTATTAATAGCTCAAACTTGTAGCATCTTTCTAAGTCTCACTTTTTTGTTAATTGTAGGGACCTGTTGGTCCAATGGGGCCGATAGGCATGAAAGGATCTCCTGGCAAAACTGGATCTCGTAAGTTAAACTCTAACAGTGCCCCTATCGTTTTTTCTTTTTGATCAAGATTTTGATGACGTGTTTTTCTACTATTTAGCTGGTGTGCAAGGAATAGTTGGTGAAAAAGGCGATTTTGGGTTAAAAGTAAGTATATACTTAAACAAAAAAATATCGAAAACGAAATCAATTGCATTGTGTAATGGCAAATAGTCTTAGATTCGATAGAGACAATATGAAGTCCAACGACGAAAATTTTCTAATATGAAAAGAGAATTATACATCATATTTAAGGATTATTCTATGCATCCTTAGAAAACTTCATTATTTTAACGATCAAGAATGATTGATTTTGAAAAACTCGCATATTTACTGAGGTTATATAATTATCAAGTATTAAACACTATTTTGGATTTCGATAGAAATTATATAAATTCATTCTATGACTTTAAGATGATTGTTAAGATTTATTATTTATTCCACACAATGTTTTCTCGCCTTTTTAGGGGTATGAGGGTGCCATTGGTTTACCAGGTCTTGCTGGGGCTAGAGGAATTTCGGGTGCTCCGGGTGATAGTGGATTAAAAGGAACTAGAGGAAGCAAGTAGGTATAAAAGAAGTTAATAAAAAATATATGCACAGAATAAAATCTCAATATTTCATTGTATTCTGTGCGGCATATGCGTAACAAAAAACATCGGAATATCATTTAAATATTCGTATGTTCGTCCACATACACCACATACGTTTAACAATAAAGTAGCATCTAAAATATACAACAGTTATACTTTTTTTCGGATCTAATTCTTTTCTTTTTTCTTCAGAGGAGCTAGAGGTGATGATGGTGACAGGGGAGAAAGTGAGTGAGAAATAATATGATTGGATTGTAATTTGGCTTTGCTTTGCTGCGAAATGTTTTTTAGATGGAGAGGAAGGACCTGCAGGAAATGTAAGTTCTAAAAAATCTGAATTTGTCTAAAAATCCATCAATCGTCTTGTTTGGTAAAGATTGGTGCTCAAGGGGGAGAAGGTCCAAGAGGAGAACGTAAGTGCATTACAATCAAATGCAATCAACACATGTATATAACTCACATATTTGAACGTTTTAGAAGGAAATTCAGGAATGAAAGGACCCAGAGGTATACATTTTGTTCTATTCTCAATGTCGAACAATTAAAGTATACTATTTCGTATAGGTGATGTTGGACCTACTGGCTTGCCCGGTCCCGCGGGTCCTTCAACATTAAGTCCAAGTATGCTGTCGAGTTTGTTTACATTGAACACTGGTGAAAAAGGACCAGGCAATCCCGGTGTTCCTTTGCCAATGCCGTCCACGCCATCCACCAACGGTCCATCCGGAGTAGATATTAATAATATTGATGTTGCTCAACCATTTGGTGATGATGTGCTTGCCGATAATCCGTTAAAAACGGCAACAAATTTTATTAATGATCTGAAAAATGTTGGAAAAGAAGTAAAATTGAAAACAAAACCAGATGGAAGTGTGGAACATCCAGCAAAAAGTTGTAGGGATATTGCAGAGTTTTATCCTGAAAAACTGAATGGTAAGAGCAAAAATCGAATATCGGACTTCAAAATCGCAAGAGCTTGTTTTTAGGAAAATATTATATCGATCCAAATGAAGGTTCAAAAGACGATGCTGTACTCGTGCACTGTGAATTAACAAAACGTATGACATGTATAAAAGCAAAACAGGCCAGTTTTAAACCAAGTACAAGACTTTTATCCAATAGTAAAACAGCTACTAAAAAGCATGTTCGTTTCATGGAAGATCTTTTACAACAACCAGAGGTATACAATCGTATCAATCAATAAAAAAATATTGTTTGTTTGTCTTGTTTAAGTTTGAATATGATATAGAGACAATTCAATTAAGATTTTTGAGAATGCTATCAGACAAAGCTTATCAAAATATAACGTATCATTGTCGAAAAACAATTGCTGCTTATGACAATTCAAAACAGGATTATTCACGTGCCATACGTTTAAGAACAAAAAATAGTGTGTTGTACGAAGCAAAACCGATTAATGACGCAACACTTCAATATGAAATTCTCAAAGACGATTGCAAGGTAAGAGGCACTTATAAATGGTAGTTTTATGGTAGGAAGTTTAATCTTTAAATCGGAAAGCGTCCTTCATAATCGACTCTGCGTAATTCCGTTTAAACAATTTGTTGAATTTGACTCTGTTTCGCATATAGTTCTAGCTATTAGTCAAGGAGTATATTCTATCTGAAAATAGAAAGAAAAACCTTTTTTAAACTAACAGCAGCCATAGACTAAACTGAAATCTATTTTATTAAAAAAGATCTGACGTTTCGACTCTTCATAGTCATTTTCAAAGAATATTATAGAACATTACTGTACTTTACGCATGAAATGTTGTGAAAAGGAAGAAGAATTTTGTCTGTATATATTGTGTATTACTTGTAGACAGTCAGTAATTATATTATCAGTCCCTTTTGTTTCACTCTTCATAACATTTCTCTATCCGCGTGGATCAATATTCCTTTTGCTCTTTCTCTGAGAAAGGTCGTCGGGAAACACAATCAAAGGTACGGATGAGAGGTATCTTCAACATGTTTTTGTAGACATTAAAGATGTGAAATCTGCTCTACAAAAACATGTTGAAGGTACCTCTCACACTATTGATTGGGAAAATTGGCGTATAATGGACAGGGGCAAAGTTGAATATCGATTGTGAGTCAAAGAGTCTTTGTTAATAGCATCATTCAATCCTGACTTAAATCGTACAAAACTGCACAGAACATGATTAATACTTTAATCAAATTTATTTTATTGTGATATTTCGACAAGTTCTCTTGCCATCATCAGACAATAAAAATTGTTACAAAGTGTCAAAAGAAAGAAAGAAGTATATATATAGTAGTAAACGTAAAAACAGAAATTTTCTACATTATTCTACAATTTAACAGAATTAAATTTGATTAAAGTATTAATCATGTTCTGTGCAGTTTTGTACTTTCTCTACAATTTAATTTGATTTTCAACTGCTCTCTCTCCTCTCTCTCCAAGTTTTATTATTAACACTCGTCAGAAGTACGGCGATGTTGTATTCTCATCTATACATCGTGTCGAAAGATTAAGTATAAAATATCAAAAATGTAAATGCGATCTGAAATTTTTACGATTGTGTCTGATCTATAATGTCTCTGTTAAATTGTAGAATAATGTAGAAAATTCCTGTTTTTACGTTTACTACTATATATATACTTCTTTCTTTCTTTTGACACTTTGTAACAATCTTTATTGTCTGATGATGGCAAGAGAACTTGTCGAAATATCACAATAAAATAAAT